TTTAGGAAGCTTCCAGAGTGCTCCTGGGGGCTGGGGAGGGCAAAAATGAGTGAAAACAGGCTGATTTTTGCTCATTCCCCCCCTCCCGCGCCCCTAGGAGCACTCTACAAGCCTCCTAAAGGCTATGCACGCCCTTTTTTGACAAAAAAAACGGGTCCATTTTCATGAAAAACAGGCCGTTTTTGGGAGTTCTGCAGAGTGCATAAACTTTTTTTTAATGGCCTCTTCAAAATCTTGGTGTGTCTTATACTCTGGTGCGTCTTATACTCTGAAAAATACGGTATGTTTCTAATCTCACCAGACAACCATATTATAAAGAAAATAAGTACGATTAGAACTGTTCGATTCTACAGTATTTTAATGCAGGAGAAGCAGAGTTTTATTTTTTTGCATGTTGTTGTCTTGTATCACTGTCACTGCTCTCAAGTATCACACATCTAAATCTATCACCCAACATTGTGTATATCTATCCAATTAGCAAGGATACTGCAGTCACAATGTTCCTGAAAACATTCTGAAATAAGGTGGGTATCCAAAACAACTTTAAGGATTCCATTGTCCCTACTTCCAAAAACGGCAATCCAGAAGACAAAAGAGGTTTATGATGTGACCTGCAGTCAGTACAAGCATACCAAAAAAAGTAGTTCCAAACAATGCAATATTTCATTGATTAGCCTACTATAAAATCAAGTTTGTACATGCATAATTTTGAAATCTTATCAAGTAATAATTTTGAAAGCATTTATTTTTGTCATTTTTTATACTGGCTTTCAATCATGTTCCAAAGAGTTTTTTAAAAAAAACAACTGTAGATTTACTCAATTTCTGTTTTTAAAAATAAAACCTTATCTTTTTTGCTTTTTCTCAGAATTTAGTTTTGGATTATTCTTCCGCAGTACCCAGTAATTTCTTGCAGCCATCTAACATTTCAAAGACAAGCCAGATTTGCCACTATAATATGATGCCATGTGTGAAACATCAATTTAATAACTTTTTCTTCTGAATTTTTAGTTGAGGATTATGGTGGAAAAACATCTCCCCTTAAATAAACAATTGGGCTACCAGGCCTAGTTTGCAACAGTGCAAATAACTACTTGATAGCAACCAAAAGATACAGAAATCTCTACCTCTCTGCTTCCACCCTAGTGATTCTGTAGATGAAAGAGCCCTAAAATGCATCTCTGGAATTTGGTAGCCCTTGTTTAGTGTATCTTATATTGGGTCTCTCAGGGACGCGGTGGCTAAGTCGCTGAGCTTGTCGATCAGAAACGTCGGCAGTTCAAATCCTTAGTGCCCCATAACGGAGTGAACTCTCATTACTAGTCCCAGCTTCTGCCAACCTAGCAGTTCGAAAGGACGTAAAAATGCAAATAGAAAAATAGGGACCACCTTTGTTGGGAAGGTAGCAGTGTTCTGTGTGCCTTCGGCGTTTAGTCATGCTGGCCACATGACCACGGAGGCGTCTTCGGACAGCTCTGGCTCTTCGGCTTTGAAACGGAGATGAGCACCGCCCCTTAAAGTCAGGAATGACTAGCACATATGTGTTGAGGCAAACCTTTACCTTTATATTGTGTCTGTTTGAAGTTACAACAGTGATTAAAAAAAGCAACTGCAAATGTCCTCTCATTAACTTCCTTTGCAGATCTATAAAGCAAAGGAAAGCTGAAGTAAGATTTAAGCAGAGTCATGGTTTCACTTAGCAACTGCCTTGCTAAGCACGGCTCACAACTGCCGTCCAAGTTGTGAGTCCCAATTATGATTACTCTAATTCAGGGGTGTCAATGAGGGCCTAATGAGTCGCACACAGGCCACGCCCACTCCAGCTCCACAAATGGGGAAAACACCACGAAACATCACATAATGGCAATGTGATGTGCCAAGTTTGACATCCATGCTCTAACATATATAGGTTAGATGAGTATCCATATCTGAGTTAGAGTATACAGAAAATCTCATTCTATTCCAGAAGCACTGCATCTTATTTGTAGGCTTTTAATTGACAAGTATCAAAAATCCAATGTATACTTGTTCATTTCCTAAGATAAAATTGCAGGGGATTCTCTGCAGAGCACATCTATCACATTCAACTATATCTTCAGTCAATTTCACCATGGTAATACGAGTTTGGGACCCCAGTTTGGCTTAGTGATTGATGAGAAACAGGAGACCATTCTAGTATCTTAGGCATGAAGCTAGCTGGGAGACCTTGAGCCAGTCATTCTCTTTCAGTCTTAGGAAACAGGCAATAGCAAACCACTTCTAAAATCTTTGCAAGAAAACTGCAGGGATTACTCCAGGCACTCACCAGAGCCAGATGGCTATACTGACTTGAACACACACACACACCAAAAATTTTTGGAAAAGTTATTAATTACATAGATGAGCTTTGCATAACATATTAAGCAAAAAATATACTGTGGCTGACCAGTCTGCCATTCAATTATTTAATAGCCATAGTACAACATAGAAAAGTGTAAACTTCTGAAAACATCAAATCAGATGTTAAATTCGGTTTAGATAAGCATTCATTCAGCTTCAATCTGAAGTGAATGTCAAGAGTCAATGGCGGGAGACAGTTGCCATTTCCCTGGGCTGTTCTATTTGAAACAAAGGGTATTTTATAATATTGCTAGTCCTACAAGATAGACCCAAATAGGAAATCATTGCCATATAGATCAATGCTACTTTTACTGTCAAGCTTAATACCAGAATTTTGCAAGTCTATAGAGTACGCTTCCGACTCCCAGGTTCACATGAGTTAGGGAGAGCCTTGTTTGAGATTTTTCTCAAGGTACTTTTTCTTGGTTCAGGCTCATTTTATTAGATGATCCTATTGCTTTGAAAGGCATTTCTTCCAGTCCTTCAAGGCCATTGCTTCTCTTTTCTAGAAGTGTGCCTGCATGTGGCCTTGTCTTAAATGTAAGAACAAATCCCCCCCCCCAAAGATGGAACTTAGTAAAGTCAGTAAAATAACATCTTACCATTTTTGGAGAGCCATATTCACACGTATTCATCTGATTTCACTGGCCTCACAAGAGGTCTATGATGAATCATTTCTATTTAAGGACGAAGTAGCAACAAATAAGGTTTTTTTTTGGGGGGGGGAACCACGCAAAAGTGCTACATTTTGTTTATTTTCAACCGAAAGCTTACTCATCTTTAATAAAAAGGCACCACTGGGAATCAATTTATCACAGAATTCACAAACACTTGCCCTTAATTGGTAGATTAACGTTCTAATGAGTGCCAGCCAACACTATGAATAAGTCCCACAGGTGATGCTTTTGAGCAAAATTGCCATTTACACAATTTACCGTTTGTAGCAATAGTGACTCACACAAACATCATTTTGGTAGGCTTGTTTTAGCCATGGAAACTGAGTGGAAAAGTCCTCCCTGCGTTGCAAATAAATCTTGAAAAATCCTCTGAAGTCCCACTCAGTATTTTACCGTGACAGACGATAGCATTGTCTCTCTGGGCATTGATATTAGATAGAATATAAAAAGAATGGGAGGCTCTGTAAATCCTACGACGATCCAGTGTCTGTCCCGTCCCTCTTTTTTAGCTCTAATATGCCCTATAAAACATGGTGCTTGACAAGAATCAGGGAAGCCTTGTTCTTTAGCTCCCTTTTCTTTTTCTTTTTGAAATATATATTTATTATTTTTACATTTAAAACAATGCAGTACCGCAGAGTTGAAGTGACCATACATTCACATTATACACAATTAGTCTCAACCATTAACTATTAGCCTACTTAGTGCATTATCTATCCTTCTGTCCAATCACAATATACAGTTTGTTCCAGTCTTGTCTCCTTGTCTTATACCAATCATAAAATCTGTTCCAGGCTTCAAAATATTCTGATTCCCCTTTATTTTTAAGTTCAAGAGTGAGCCTATCTGCTTCCGCACAGGCCAACACTTTTCTGATTATATCTAGCTCTGATGGTGTATTTTCTTTTTTCCAATACTGCGCAAAAGTTATGCGCGCCACAGTTAGTACATGTATAATTAGATAGAGTACGTTTTTCTTAAACCCCTCCGGTATTATGCCTAGGAGAAAAATTTCTGGCTTAAGCAAAATTTGGTCTCCCACCATTTGTTCCAACCATGATTGAATCATTTCCCAATATCTTTTGGCCTCATTGCATGTCCACCACACATGATAAAAAGTGCCTGGTGTTTTTTTACACTTCCAACAATTTGGGGCTAGATTTTTAAACATTTTGGAGAGCCATGCTGGGGGGAGATGCCATCTGTAGAACATCTTATAAAGATTTTCTTTATACACTGTAGCCAATGTTAGTTTTCGATTAAGTATCCAAAGTTTTTCCCACTTAGACAATTCCACATTATAACCAAAAATTTTCGCCCAGGCGACCATAGTTTCTTTGATATGTTCTTCCTTGAGTTTATATTCCAATAAAAATCTATACAGCACTTTGATCAACTTGTTTTCTGTCTCTATCAAAAGTTTATCTAACACTGTGTAATCTTTAACAATACCTTCCTTCTTCCTGTCCTGTGCAAACCTTGATTGTATCTGTAAATAAGACCACCATTCTACTTGTACCCCTCGTGATGCCAATTCTAATCTAGTTTTAATCTCCCCCTGTCTGTTCAATAACTCTTTATATGTAACAATATTTTCCATATTAATTAAATTTGGGTGTATATATGCTTCCATCGTAGATAGCCAAATGGGTAGCTCTCTTTTCCTTGGCATGCTACTTTACCATCTTTTTTTCCTTCCTTCCTTCCCTCCCTCCCTCTTCCTTCCTCCTTCCTTCCCTTCCTCCCCCTTCCTTCCTCCTTCTTTCCCTCTCTCTCCCCCTTCCTTCTCTTCCTTCCCCTCCCTCCTTCATCCCTCCCTTCCCCTTCCTTCCTTCTCTTTCTTCCCTTCCTTCTTCCTTCCTTCCCTTCCCCTTCCTTCCTCCTTTCTTCCCTCCCTCTTCCTTCCTTCCCTTCCCCTTCCTTCCTCCCCCCCTTTCCTTCCTCCCTCCTCCTTCCCTCCCCCTTTTTTCTTTCTCTTTCTTCCTTCTCTTCTTTCCTTCCTTCCCAATACCACCTGTTAAAATAGCAACCAGGCAAGCGGCTCTCCTTCCGCGCTAGAGGGCGCCGGAGCGGGCTGGGTTATCGGGCGGAGGAAAGGCGGAGCTCCGGGAGAAAGAGGCGGGCGGGAGCCCAGAGGCCTAGGCTGCTGGTGAGTGGACCGGCTGCGAGCCGACGGAACGCAAGGGGAACGGGCTGCCGGGGGGGGGGGAGGGAGCGCCAGCGGTGGAGGCAGAGCCTGCTTTGGGTAGCCGAGAGCGGGCGCACGAATAGGGCTTACGGCTTAGTCTGCAGGGCCTTCCACGAGGGTTTGTGGCCGAATGGCCACCCTGCACCCGCCCACTCGACATGTACGTTTTGCCCTGGCGGGATATGTAGACCCAGCCCGGCCGATTAGTTCCGAGTTTTAGCATGGCGTTCCTCTGTCTGCAAGCAAGCGGCCGACCGCGAGATGGCAGCAGCGAGAGCGCTCTTTGCTGCCGCCTACTGGTCGCCTCTATATTCCTATACCTGTACTAGCGTGCCGCATGAATGCAGAGCTCTTTCATCGCGGTGCAGCGTGACTTGCAAAGGCAACCCCTGGGCAAGAAGATGGCATCAAAAGAATGTGAGCAGAAAAGAGGAACCTTTGCCGTTTCAGTCAATAAAGCAAAGGAAATTTGAAGGAAGTAAGAAGTAAAGCACAGTTATGGTTTCACTTAGCAACTGTGCCTCCCTTATGCCAAGTTGTCATCCCAATTGGGAATCACTAAATGAGGATTATTGGCAAACAAGTATATAAAATGGAGAAAAAAAATAACCTCTTGCTTTTGCTTTTCATTCATAAAAATCTTTTACTCTTCTGTTTACTTCTCATGGCAAAATACTTGAATTTTATAGTTAAGTTGTTTACCTTTTGCCAATCCCATTCATCTGATAAAAGGCCTTTAATCTCATGCTTTATATCTAGAAATGAGTGATGGTGATGATGATGTTCCTCAGCTTTCATCTGAAGCTTTAACTGCTCTGCAGGAGTTCTATGCCGAGCAACAGCAGAGAGAAGCTAAGACTACTGATAAAACTCACAGTTATTCAGTTGGCTCTATTGAAGAGGACTGGGTAAGCATTTTTGCTAAAATACGCTAATGGTGACTCCTGCGTGGAAAGGCTCACAAGTTTTCACTTCAAGTTTCCATGAATGAAAGTAGCAGTGACTAAGTTTCCAGTGAGCTTAGAGCACTGATTAATGATTTTTAAAATCATTAATTTTAAATGATCATTTAAAAAAATCATTTTTTTAAAAAAAATAATAGTATGTGCCCCTTGGCAGGGCAGCCATTACTTATGTCTTGGGGTAATCATGTTAGTCCAGCTTTATTTCCCATTCTACAGCCATTGCAGTCATGGCTGCTATGAACTGGGGGCAGATACAGATAGTCCTTGACTTACGACCACAAGTGAGCCCCAAATTTATGTTGCATAGTTGTTAAGTGACTTTTGCCCATTTTACGACCTTTCTTTCTTTTTTTTTTAGAAAAGAATATAATTCTTTATTAGCCAAGTGCGATTGGGCACACAAGGAATTTGTCTTTCACTACCAAGAATCTTGTTTATATATATGGTGCAGTAAGATGCATGATAGTTATACTATTAACTTTTTACTTATATAAAATAATTAATACTGGCCATTTCTATAACAACAACATATAAAATGATGAAAGCCCAAAATCAAAGTTCGATTTTTTTTGTCTCTTTAGAGCAGGGGTCAGCAACTTTAAACACTCAGAGCCCTAAAGGTCCTAACTGGAAGTTCCCCTTTCAATTCTAGAGCCAACCGGAAGTCCATTTTTCTCATCATAGTCTCCTCCTAGCGCGGCGTCCTTTTTCTTCTGCTGATCATAAGTCAGTTCACCCACCATAGAGTCTCCTCCTAGTGCGGCATACTCAATTGTGGAGCCGATCAGCGTCAGGGAGCCGCAGCAGAGGGATGAAAGAGCCACATGCGGCTCCAGAGCCATGGGTTGCTGATCCCTGCTTTAGAGCACAAAAACCAGAAACGGTTTCCAAGTGGAAACAAACCTATTTACATTCTTTCCCCTAATTTGTATAATTTACTTTGCCATCTCCGCCAATTCCGTCATCCATTCTTCCCTGGATGGATATTAATTCTTTTAAGTTTGGCATTTCAAACAAACCAGACCTCTGGGTTGTAGCAAATAATCTTCTAGGGATGTTACTGAAAAAGTTATTCTGTTAACATTTGCACTTTTTTTAACCCTTTCAGCAACTGAGCCAGTTTTGGTATGATCCTGAGACAGCATTTTGTTTAGCTAATGAGGCCATAAGAGCAGCTGGGAAAGGTGGCAGGTAAATTCTGTTGGCTTTCTACAAACCAAGCATTGTGACTTTTATAAAAATGCTGCTTTTTTATCTATCAACCCTTTCTTTTCAGTGCATTAAACTACAAATAGTCCTTGCAACCATTTATTTACTGACCATTTGAAGCTAATGGTAGCACTATAAAAAGTGACTTACTGCCGGCCCTCCCACTTAAGATCGTTGCAGCGCCCCTACAGTCACGTGATCAAAATTTGGGTGCTTGGCAACTGGCATATGTTTAGGATGACTGCAGCATTCTGGCTCATGAGATTATTTGTGGCCACCTCAGCTGGCTTCTGACAAGCAAAATCAATGCGGAAAACTCTATTTGCTTAATGACTGCGCGATTCACTTTAACAGCTGCAGTGATTTGTTTAACAATTGTAGCAAAAAAATAATAATCACAAAATCAGGTTCAACTCCCTTTACAACCTCCTTCTTAGCAACAGAAAGTCTGGTTTGGAGTTGTGGTTGTAAGTCCAAGATTACACGTGTGATGCAGTTTTGACTATTGGGGGGTGGGTGGGTCATGGTTAAGACACAGGACTGTCAGATTGGAGATAAGAGTCACTAAGTAGTTTTTTTTTTTTACATTGATCTCTCAAGCATCTACAAACAGCTCTGGATCGTCACAATATCCTGCCTTTCGCTTTTACAGATAAGGGGTTGAGATTGTTCTTTTAATGAGCCTTTGATCTATGGAAGAATCCAGAGCTTTATCCAGGATTATCAGGGCAGGGGGGGGGGGGGATATCAAAAAAATAAAGAAAATGATCACTACTATGCAGTTAAGGCCCTGCACATTTTTACATGCGTAGAAACAATGGTGAGGCTTCCATCCTGTGTTTGGGGTTTCCATCTTCAATTTCTCCCCCCACCCCCATGCCCCCACCAGGAGTGAAATCCTACCGGTTCCGGCCAATTAGCCCAAAGCGGTAATAAAAAAAATGCTAAAAAAAAGTTCCAACCATTGCCCGGCACAGCTGATTGTCGGAACTTTTTAAAAACTTTTTTTAGCATTTTTTTACTACTGGTTTGCCCGAACTGGTGGTTAAAAAAATGCTTTAAAAAAGTAAAAAAAGAGTTCTGCTGATCAGCTGTGTGACAATCAGCTGTGCCGCGTAATCATCGGAACTTTTTAAAACTTTTTTTACATGCGCGTGCGAATCTTATCGGTAAAACTTCCGGGCATTTTACCCCTGCCCCATACCCAGTGGTGGGTTCCAGATCCCATTGCAACCGGTGCGCTGCAATGGAGCTGGGCATCCACCACGTGCATGCGTGCAGCGCCCGCATGTGTACTTACTGCCCGCAACGCTCCAGCTGCTCGGCGGAGCATCACACAGGCACCATGTGTGTGCGCAAAAGCCCCAATCAGCTCAAATAGAGGTAAGGCGGGCAGGTGGGCCCTCCAGAACACCGTACTGGAACGGTACCTGGTGCTCCCAGGAGGCACCGGTACGCCCCCACCACTGCCCCCACCCTAGACATTTTTGCCTTCATTAGCGCAATCAGCAGTTTTTTGATGCACAGAACTCTGAGGCTGGTTCTTTAAAAAGCCTTTAATATTTGAACTTGTGTTAACCACAAGCGCATAAGAGAAGTGTACTTATAATAGTAGAAATAGAAGCAGCATATTTTTGGGAAACTTTGCCCTGTTTAATTCTGTCCTATGTATAAATAGATTGACAGGGTCTATTTATGCTTCAGTCCAGAAGGTACATATTACTTTTTGAGGGGTAGGTTATTTCTAAAGTTGACTTTGGTTGCAGTACGGTGCATATTCACCCAAGAACAAGACTGCACTGTGCAATGAATAATTATTTAGTATTTATTTGTAAATAATTATTCATTCAGTTCTATCGAATTGGCACTTTCCTGTCTCTGATGAGGGGCAAATAATTCTGCAGGTGTGTTATTGAACAAGAGGGATGTTTGTGAACTCACGTACGTAGTTGAATTCAAGAAAAGGTGTGAATTAAATATTTTAATGTATTAAATAACCACCTCTTTCCTTGCTTCATTATCCTTGCAGGATAGCTTGTGTCAGTGCCCCGAGTGTTTATCAGAAACTGAAAGAGCAGGATTGCCAAGGTTTTTCAACCTGCATTTTGGAATATGACCAGAGATTTTCTGTGTATGGAACCGAGTATATTTTCTACGATTACAACAGCCCTTTGAAACTTCCAACCCACCTTGAAGCACATAGTTTTGATATTGTCTTAGCAGACCCACCCTACCTGTCTGAAGAATGTCTCCAAAAAATAGCAGAAACCATCAAATACTTAACTAAAGGAAAGATTCTGCTCTGCACAGGTACATCACTTGTTTTCTCAAATTCATTTGCTTCAGTAGTTTTTGTAAACAAAACAGTAGCCATTTGTAAAATCATTATTATATAGCTGCATACACTGGAAAATAAGTTTATATAGAACAGAGGTGTCAAACTGACAGAGGTGTCAGAGCTGAGGTGGCGCAGTGGGTGGAGTGCAGTACTGCAGGCCACTTCAGCTGACTGCTAGTTCAGCAGTTCAGCGGTTCAAATCTCACCGGCTCAGGGTTGACTCAGCTTTCCATCCTTCCGAGGTGGGTAAAATGAGGACCCAGATTGTGGGGGCAATAATGCTG